AGGGGGTCCCTGATGGAGCTGGCTCCCCACACATAATGGCTCCTCCCCACTCCTCTTTGCTGGCTCTGATCTTGTAATCAACTACATCCCTATTGGAAATTCACCTGTTTGGTGCAACCTTGATTTTTTTACATGTTGTAGGAGATCACACAAATTAGTTTAAAAACAGTATACATAATTGAGCTAAATTAAAACAAAAATAAATAGCAAAAATGCTCAGCTGAGCAATATAAAAGCCTACAGAAGACTTCTGAATCAAAACATATTGCTCAAAAATTTTAACTTTTATTAACATGTCATAAAATGCTCTTAAATAATTTCTTGGATTAAGCGGAGTAATTTTCTATGTGATCACCTACAACATATTTAGATTACTTCTTTCACTACTTTGACCTTTAGGGTCAAAAGGTGACTGACTGATATCTTTTTCTGTTATTCAATATTCTGATCTCTTGCCCCTCTAGCATGATTTTTAACTTCATAGATAAGAATAAAGGCAGCTTTCATGTGCTTGTGATAGACTGACAAGAGTCCTTTTCGTAAATATTGAAGAACTGTAATCAACCAAGTTAACTAGGCATAAAGAAAATTACGCAGTATATTTTGTATGGATAAATGTGCATATGCCATCTTGGGTATGTCTAAACTATCAAAAAAGGGATGTAGTTTAGACACACCCCCTATGAAGGGCTTCCAACTGTGCCGTAAGCTCACTTGTTCAAATTACTGTACTGCTTTCTTCTCTGAAAGATGTGGCTTAAGTAGGAAAACTACACAATGTTGTAGCACAGATATAGTTGCACGGATTATGGCAAGAGAGGCATGGCTGAGCTATGAAGGGTACATACATTTCAGGTGGGTTGTTAACTCTCATCAAGCTACCACTACCATGTGTGCCTGCATATGGGAATCACAACCCTGGCTCATAGTGCAGACCCAGACTTGGTTGTTAATATAAAAGAGGTAATATTGGATATTTTTATTTTCACAATGCCATTTAAAAAAGTTTTGAACCATAATACGGCTGTGAAAATCATTATGTTTACACTATTCAATTCTGGGGTCCAGTGTTAAAACTGCTGAACAGGGAAGATAACTATTCTTAACTCTGTTCTAGTAACCCAAACTGGACATTTGATGAGATAAATAGCACCATTTTCTTAGAGGAGGGAGAACAGTAATATCTACACAAGGTGTGTTAGGAGAAAAGAATGAAGAAAAGTTAGAACCACAGTTTTCTATTACATAGAACAGGTCTTTCTAAACCAATACAAAATTACCAGAAAAATTAGGAGCCACATTAGTCCACTAAGCAGCTGCAAACAAGAACTTCATTATACACAGTAACTTCATAAAGTTCATACAATTAGAGGTAAATGAAAATTAAAAGTTTATAGGACATTTTCTGAAGTGTTTGTAATGCCAAGGCTACAAAGCTCTACTATGTTTTTTTCCCCACATTTGTTGAGAAATGCCTTTCATTTATCTCCTCTCCACAATATTGTCAGTGTATCAAGGATTTCTTACCATTTGTTCCTTTGCGCGAACAGTCGATCCCAAGAGCAGGATTGTTTTCTTTCACTTGCCTTGCTCGCACTTCAGTCATAGTCTGTATGGGGTTCATTCCACTGTTTTCAGAAAGTGCCATGGGAATTACTTCTAGGGCATCAGCAAAAGCCCGCATAGCATACTGTTCCAAAGAGGGGCACTAGGAGAGTACAGGATTATATTAGTCTGTAGGCAGAACCAAGGTATCACACTGAAATAGTAAGCAAATTTGCAAGTGTTCCTTAAAAACATGGCTCAACCCTACCCAATATACTACATCAGTCCTAAGGACAAGCCAGCCATGTAGATTTCAGCGTGAATCTACAAATCATCAGCTGGCTGCTCAGTAGCTCACCACATAGAACTGCTACAATGCAGTAAAAATCCTGGCATGAAGTGATAGGGGTGACTGCAATTTAATTACCATATTGAAACAAAGGCCTAAGGATAGGGGATGGAGTCATGTGCCACTGAACGCCCCGTCCACAACCATAGTTTATGTTCTAGAGGCTGCAGATTTTGACCTAAGCTGACAACTTTTTAAAACCATACCCTAAGATTTGTACTTTAAGTTGCCCTATTTCATCTTTCAAAGAATTTCAGTACAGTAATTATTCATTTAACACGTGCCCGCTTAACTCGTTTTCGCAATAGCACAATTTTTTTTAGGGAACGTTTTTCGAATAACACGACCGTCCCCGAAATAACACGAAAATAATCAAGTCGTGGACTACTTCATGCGGCGGTATTAGTTGGTGAAAACAGTGGTAATACGCATGAGAAGTTGAATACATGTGGTCACAGCGCTCCTCCGTTCACTCACGTGTTTATCTTTGTGTTTTTAACAAACTGTGGCGACTTGTGTTGCTAGGTGTCTAATGTTGACATTGACGACCCAGCACTAACAAAAAATTGACTTTGCCACCACTACTTGAAACGCAACCCCCACCTTTTCCATTATTTTTAATAGCACATTTTCGCTTAGCACAAACATTTTCAGAAATGCATCTATAGTGTTAAATGAGGAATTACTATATTGCAAAAAGAAGATCACTAACAACAGTACATCAGCCTTGAAAAAGCACAGAAACCCAATGGATAATTTCCCACCAGCATTTAATAAGTAACCCTGAAATAGTTTACTAAAGCACACCAGCTTTTCTTCTCCTATGCTGCACCAGCAGCAATTACTATGTGCAAAACTAAAACTATATAATACTGTGCTTGTATGCAGTTCCTTTACACTTGTTATATACCTATAAACACTAAGCTTGATGTTTTTCTTGAATGGGAAAAAGAAGAAATTTTTTCACCTTATCTGCTGTTTCACTAACTGCCAAAGCACAAGAGATCTCAGCAGCACCACCTCCATATACAATGCGGTTATCACGAACCAGGTTCCGAATTACACACAATGCGTCATGAAGAGATCGTTTTGCTTCTTCGATAATCTTGAATTTTAGAATACAAATTATGTTACAATATGTAAAGTTCAGAAAGTGCCAAAAATCTGTCATCACCAATATCCCCTAATACAGAATTAGAAATTCCATCTAGCCAAGTAATATCTGAATAGAAATTTATTGTTGCAATGGCCTAGAATTTTTTTAAGTTCACTGTTTTCATTAAATTTTATATTTTAAAATCAGCAGCTTTTCAATACTTAGAAATTACATGGACACCTTTTAAAGATTTTCAATCTTTCACTTAAAAACACAAATCACTTGTCTAGAGAGAAGATACAAAGGTTTTTACACTAAAATACTTACAGTTCATACTTCAGAAAACCTACTTTATCTTGTTTAAAAAAAAAACCCAGCTAAGCAAGACTCAAAAACAGTTTTGTTTTGTATTTTTAAAAGATTACAAGTCTGTTTTTAACTCTATGTGTACTCTCTTTGTTTTCCCCTTCTTTTGGCTACAAATAGGACTTAAGTATCAAGGGGATAAGAGCAACACACTACACACCAAACCAATTTAATGCAAAGTTCTGACATTCTGTTTCTCTGTACAGAAGATACCTTTCTTATTTAAAGGTCAGGCCAAGACTTATATATGTACATACCTACTGCTATGTGAAAATGGGTAAAGGCCTGATCACCCATATTATTCAATATAATTTTATTCACACGAGCAATCCATTAAAAGTAAAAGGGACATGGCACAAGGGTAAAGTTACTTACAGTATATAACAAAGGATTGTCAATCTTACTCAACACCAATCAATGTGAATCTAAGCAATACTTTACATAAATTGTCACTCTTAAAAAAAAAAAAAATCACAGCAGTCTGTCCCAGTCAAGTGGGCTATTGACTGGTTCACTCCTAACCAAATCACACACTTCAAATTGGTGAGGCTTCTTTTGGATGCACCTCTTGATTTTGCAAACCGATTAAGAATTAGCAGAAAACACATTAATTCAAACTCTCATTTACATATTGAACATCTCACCATCTTATTTCCTCCTCTAATGAAGATGGTCACCGCTCTGGAATTCTTACATTGCTCAATAACAAGCATTTTATCCTTCGTTGTTCCAAATGAAATCTCCCTGACAATGCCAGCAAAGCCTAGTTTCTCAGATGTCAGTTCACAAAAACGAGGAACGATGCGCCCTCCAGTTGCAATAGCAATCAACTAAAAATAAAAAAGATCAAAGACATTTTGAATAGAATTTTTTCCTCATGGGCTTTTTAAAATTATGGGACGTAGGTGGAAAGAAGCCAACTTGTGGCCTCGGTTCAAATGGATACTTCCTCTCCTTCAGAGTACATTAGACAATAAGTTGCATCTGCAGAGTAAGGAATGAAATTTTAAAATGTGGAATCTTAGATCACCTTTATGTTACCTATCATACTTTTCTAGCTCAATTTCAACTCCCATCCTTTGCTTGTTTGTACTGGGGTACTGTTTAGAGAATTCAATTGTGGATCATGGCCCCACTCAGAAGCGCTATTTTACAGTCAGTGACAGACTCATATAGATTAGTTGTGCTGCTCTCCTCCTGAAAGCCAGAGTTTCCACAGCAATTGTGTGTTATATTTTTTGTCAGCCAATCATGACAGATGCAAAATGAAGTCTGAGGGAAGTTTACTTACTTCAATTTCAGGTCCGCCAACCCAACGAACTGCAGGCAGCTCATTCTGAAGCAGTAAGTGGTTTGCCTCATCATCGAAACCCCACTGGCAAATAGCTAGGTTTGCACCAGTGTCTTTAATCTGAAAGCAATTAAAGCAAGACAATAGATTTAATTTGAAATCACAAGTACCAATACTGTAGATACAAAAGATGACCCCTAAAGACAATAACACTGCATTGCCAACTGGAGTCTGTTAATTACAGCTATTTTTTGTTGAATGGTTTGTCATTCAGTTGTAATCTTTAGAAAAGTATATGTATGCAACCACATCAGCTTCTTACGAAATTACTAGCCAAACCAAATATGAAAAGCAAAATATTTCAATATTGTATACACCGGGGAAAAAGGTAATCAGGGATAAATACATATAAAAATTCTAACCTGCTTCACCATCTCTTCAAATTTATCCTTTTCATAGTTCTGCAGTGCCTTGTAATCTTCCACAGATGTGACATCAAGCTTGTGCTTAGTTTTAGGCTTAGGTGGCTCAAATGGACAAGTGAGAATTGCAATTTTAGCATCTTTAACTTCCTACATGTTAAAATAAAGATTAAGATTAATTATTTTGACCTCAATAATATCTGCACTCTCTCCCCACTCCTCTGAGATTAATTTTTAACTATAAATTTTTAATTTTTAAGCTTGCGGTGAAGTTTGGGTTTACGCAGGGCTCAACACGCAGCCCATGATTGGGAGCCAAAACAAGAAAGTAGTCAATATAATGGTCTTCTGTTGATATGTGTTTTAGTAGTTAAATTCATGCACTGTCATTGCTCATTAAAAGTGCTGTCATAAGGGTAGAAGTCAGGTAAATATTGCATTTTATTAATATCAGCAGAACTGACTTAAACGGGGCCTATGCGTTGTATAGTTTTGCCTTAATCTTTGTATTCATGTGGTCAGCGTGAAAGAAGCTATTTGCACGTCTCTGCAACCACATTTAAGTTGCGGCACTGCGCATGTGTTGCGAATATCATTGTGGCCCCTGGAGTTTCCAAAGCTGAGTAGTCCTGATGTAGTTAGAGGAGCAAAGAAAGTTCTCTGATCATTTAAATAAAGCCTAACAGACACCACCAGAAAAGACTCGCTTACTTTAGGCATCTGTGGATGGCTGAAATCTTTATCCACAATCACTCCTTTGACCAACTGGGTATCTTCCAGCCTTCCTCCCACTTTGCCTTGCACTTTGATTAGCTCAAAATCCACATCTTTGCGTTCCATATCAGCCACTGTCAGTACAGCATTCACAGCAATTTCTGCCATTTGTCTGTTGCAACGATTAATTCTAAATTTAAGCAAAACATAATTAAATTAGTTAAGATTGTTCAAAATCTGTCCAGAAGGGCAACTAAATTAACAGAGAACAATAAACACATAAGCTCTGAATGTTTGTTCATTGCAGGAAGATGGGCGAAAATTGCAGTTAAACTACAAAACAGGCAACAAAGAATTTAATGTGTATGCCCGTATAGTAGATAGACAGACACCTCTTCTTGGATATCTTACAAAGACACAGATTTGGGTTCTCATCACACTTAATTGATTACAAAATACAGGACTATGTAGCACTTTATTAATAAACCATCTTGTTATTCTTTAAAGTGCTACATAGTCCTGTATTTTGTTTCAGCTACACCAGACTAACATGGCTACATTTCTATCACTATTCTTAATTGATTACAAGTGAGTTATAACCAGCAAGGGATCTATAAGCTGCATTCTAAACAACATTAAAGCTCCACTTGGAAAAGGACCTCTTTTAACGTAATTACATATACTTAGTCTATAGCATGCTGCAGTATACAACTGTTGCAGGACCATATGTAAATTTTGACATATGGAGCAAATGTCAGTTTTTTAAACTTTTTTTCGGTGCCATTGTTCTTAACTGCTCTACATTAAGAACAAACAATACAGTGTTGATCAGACTTACAATTAAGTCAATCACTAATAGCTTATCCCTTGTACCAATAGGGACAGGATGGAACAACAGGATTACTTTTGTTTTAGAGCATCTGGCAGCCTGGCACACATGATACCTCACACCTACTATTTTAAAAGGAAATGAGAAAAATAGTCCATGATCAACTGATTTGTTGAATACTTGCTGGTCTACCTTATCCTGTCTGTCTTAATTAGCTGGTCCAACACAGCAATCAAGGGGTCACTAACATTTATTAACAGCCCAAAACAAAGGACATTTCACTCTTCCCACCCCATTACCCTTCAAAGTTAATGAATCTGTCACCCGCTCAAAACATACACAAATCATACAGGTTTATCATCAACATATATTAAATGTAAGGGGGTAGCAAAAAACTCTGACTTCAGACAAGGGGCTGAACACTTGAAAAGGCTGAGAGACTCTCGCTTAAAATGCAGGCACCACTTTGGGCTGGTTTGCTGACTAAAGGGTGAAACTGTATTATACCATCAAATCACTAGTCCAACAAATTAAACACATGACCAGCGAGTATTCAACAAATCAGTTGATCATGGACTATTTTTCTCATTTCCTTTTAAAATAGTAGGTGTGAGTTATCATGTGTGCTAGGCTGCCAGATGCTCTAAAACAAAAGTAATCCTGTTGTTTCATCCTGTACCTATTGGAACAAAGGATAAGCTATTAGTGATGTCTGACTTAATTGTAAGTCTGATCAACACTGTATTTCATTGATTAATCCATGATGATTAGCACATTAATTACCTAAATGCTATTTTATTACAACTCCTCTCCCCAAAAGAGCAGTGACATGACAGATTAATAGAAATAAAGGTAGAAGACTAACAACATTAGTTATTTATCACATATGAAATTCACCTAGTGTAACAAGTTTGTTTAAACAAATAAAGGTAGAAAAGAAGACTATGGGTCTGTCTACACAGCAGTGTTATTTTTGGAACAACAGACATTATTCTGAAATAACATAGTCTGCATCTACACTACAAGCAGTTATTTTGACATGTCAAAATAATGTCAAGCTGGAGGACTTCTTACTCCAATTCCCGTAACCCTCATTGTACAAGGAGTAAGGGAAGTTGGAGGAAGAGTGCTGTCTTAGACTTCCTGCTGCGTAGACAGAGCCAAAAGCCGAAATAAGCTTTATTTAAGCTACACAATTGACATAGCTCAAGCTGTGTAGCTTATTTCAGCTTTAGCTCTGCTATGTAGACATGCCCTATAATAATAAAATTATCACATGTGAAATCCACCTAGTATAATAATTTTTTTAAAGAAAAGATAATCTTTTAAAAATGAGGGAAACAGCCACATAGAAATATATAAAAGGAGACTAGGAAGCGTGGCAGTGAAAAAGACAGGAATTATGCAGATAAATAGAAGAATTTCTATTCAGCTGCTTGTATCACGCCATTTTGTAAACTGTAAAGAGAATGCCTCCTCTTAAACTTGCTATATCAGGGAGTTAGAGTAAAGAATTTAACAGGTTAAAAAAAAAAGTGATGTTTAACTTTGAGCAACAATTTCACTGAGGAATGAGATACACTTTATATTCCACCTAAAAAAAAACAAATTGTCAAGGATTTCCCCCCGAAACACTTTCAAGTACAAAACTACATTAATTTGTTTATTTCCAGTATAAACTTACACTTTAGAGCCTAGAGTTGTCTTTGCAGTCTGGATGAGAGGTTCCTTGTTCTGTGGATCAACTGGAAAACTGTCACTGATTTTGTCTAGATTCTCAATGGCAATGCGTGCAGCCTGCTCATAACCATCTGCTATTCTCATAGGGTGAATACCACGATCTAACAACTGCTCAGCCTGTTCTAATAATGCACCAGCCAGAACTACAAAACAAAAACAAGAATTTACTTTCTTCCATCAATTTTCTAAGTTATTTGAGATTTTGCTAAAGCACAGAAAGTGTATTTGACACATTTGCCCTTGAAGGCTTACACTACATCAGACACAAGTTTCTAAAACTGATCAACAATTTTAGAAGTTAACCAATATTAGGGTATATCTACACTATGGGATAAGGTCAAATAAAGATATGCAACTTCAGTGACATTAACTGCATAGGTGAAGTATCTTAAGTTGACTTTTGGCACTTCCCTACTGCAGGAAGTTTAAGGGAGAACACTCTCTTTGACTTCCCTTAACTCCTCATGGAAGCAGGATTACCAACATCGACCGGAGTGCCCCTCTCAGTTCGAATTAGTATTTCTTCACTAGACCCGCTAATTGGAACTCTGGAAGATTGATAGCGTCTCTGTAGCGTATACACACCCTTTGTGAGGAAACTAACCCAGTTACTACTTTTTCTTAAGGAGTTAAGATTAATTGGAAGACAACTATTTAACATATGCAAGCAAATAACTATTTGGATGCACTTAATACAAGGGATGGTGTTTCAAAATTGCCTGCAAATTTAAAAACAAAAATACAAACTTACCCCCTCGATCCTTCTGACAGAGCCACAATACAGGAGCTTCAAGGGAACTAAAATGCTAGCTACTTACTAAATTTGTTTGAAATGCTAACTTTTTATGTAGGGCCAACTCTTGGTTTTTAAATAACCTGAGATGGTAAGATCAGAGATGTCTCTTACCAACAACCCCTGTAGTTCCATCCCCAATCTCATCATCCTGCGATTTGGCCAATTCTACCATAAGTTTCGCTATTTGATGATCCACATCCATCATACTCAGAATGGTGGCCCCATCATTTGTGACAGTCACCTCACCATCCTTGTCCACCATCATTTTATCAAGACCTAAAAGAAGTGTTCAAAAAGTATACAAATTATAAATAATCAAAGAAACCTTACCAAAAAAAGGGGGGGGGGGATTAAATTTACATGCTCATACATACTTACCATTTGGCCCTAGTGATGTTCTCAGTGTATTTGCCACAGCCTTTGCTGCCATTATGTGAGACTATAAAACAAAACAAATGCAAGTATATAATCATTATGATGTATTCTTAAAAATGCAATGCTTTGTTAATAATACTATGCCAAGTGGCCAACCTAAACCTGAGAAGGAGCCAGAATTTACCAAAACACATTGACAAAAAGCAACAGTTATATGTCACCAGCCCATATCATCTCCCCACCACCACTCTCAGCACATCCTGCCCACTGGCAGCCCCACCAGTCAGTGTCACCTCCTCTTTTTCCTTCTACCCGCAGTGATCAGTTCTCAGTGGGAGACACAGGAGGGTGGAAGAATGAGTGTGACAGGCTGTCAGCCAGTGGTCCAGGCAGTGAGTGGTCTGTGAGCCCTATTAAACACCCAAGTGGAGAGGGTGGGAAGTAACAGGATCCTAGGAGGAAAGGGCCTAGAGCAGAACTAGGGGTTGAACAGTGAGCACTTTCCGGCCCAGTGGAAAGTTGGCACATGAGCTCCAGCCCTGGATTTGGTACCCATGTAAGGAGCCGCATATTAATTATGGAAGAGCCACATGTGGCTCTGAAGCCACAGGTTGGCCATCCCTGCACTATGCCAATCAATAATAAAAAGAAAGTCCTTTCATTCTAGTTGTTCATAGACACAGTTGTGTGTCTTTGAAGGTCATTGCTTAGCCATCAGCCATTCTCGTCGCCAATGGTTTCCATTGGTGCAAATATGAATAAAACTTGCAATGGTAATGAAAAATGCAAAGTAACAGCTTCTTCTCCCCATCTTTAAAAAAACAACAGAAGCTAAACTTATGTGAAATTGTATACTATAACATTACCTACATCAGGCAAATGTTGTGTGTATTGCTATCACAACTGACGTAGCCCAATTTTTCCTTTTGACTTTTCTGTAGCACAGGGGTGGGCAAAAAGTTTTACAGGGAGAGGGGGAGATGTCATGATTTTTGGTTAAATCCTCAGGGACCAGCTCCACACTCCTAGAAGGGGGGGAGAGGGTAATGGGGGGG